CCAACCCTGTTGGCACAGACTGGATCTCAATGGTTGCCTGTCCCAATGGCCACAAGCATGTGAGCTTTGACCTGGGAGTGCTGTGGGTCGTGTGTGTTGACGGCTCCATCCGTAAATGTACTTTATAATCTGTCACTGCAGCAACAGAGGAGCTCAAGCATTAAGAGAAACCTCAAAGTAATCAGTCAAAGTGATTGTAATCGAAATAATAATTATCAAAGTAATCAGTCATTATGAACAGAAAACTAAAAGCTTGATTATACTTTATTTTCTTCTCTTTTTCTTGCTGTGGAACCAATAAAGCATTATGAAAGCATCAATCTCATTAGTGTTGTTTCTTTTGTGTATTATTTGGTTCAGTGGTTCTGTGGAGAAGTGTCAAGTGATACATAGCACAACCATGGCAAATTGACACTATTAATCCTTATCTTTAGCGACCCGGGACATCATTCTCTACCCTCTTCATCCTACATTTTTTAGTTAGACATCAACTTTCTTAGTATTCCTCAATCTATTCATTATGAACAATATAACAAGAAAAAAAAATAGTAAAATATAAAAGAATGTCGGTTTTCTGATTAATTTGTTTAAAAAGTGTATTGGGTCGCTACAGACGGTATGTAAATGTGTAAGTATTTTTTCCTGCGCGACTATATTTACTGTATCTGAAGACTCGATTTGTGCAATGCATCTTTTTTTCCTCAAGGTGGCACTGTTTGATACACAATAATGACGTGACGTTTCACTCATAATTACCGCAGGCATAAAACAAACGAATATCATCAGCAAAAATGTAACCGATGACTTTACTGCAGAGCAATTACTATACGCAATGATCTATAAATGTCACTGGCATTTGATGCTGGATGTGGTGAATAAGCTGCCAGTGATCAAAATATTGAATATGAAGTCATTGAAAAAGATAGATTTGAGAATATGGTTGAGATCGTGAATGTGAGGCAGATGCTGAATGCAGCCTACTGTGGAAGTGCTCTCTGACGATGACAGCGATGGTAAAATCATCTGCTCAAATTGAACCCTTTTAAGTTTCAAAAGGAAACAAAATATGCTTTCTTTTATTCTTCTGTAATTGTTCTTAAAATATCAAGATCATTTTTTGCTGTTGCAGCAGTTAGAGGTCCATCCGTGCTGGATATATAGGTCCGGGTCGCTAAAGACCCGAATATGTAATAATGATTGGCGAAACATTCATGCATTTAAGGGTTAAAAAATATGGCATTTATTCAAATTGCTCATGTCTTATTTCTAATATCTGATTAGAATTTTAATACATGTTTGTCTATCTAATAATCTAGTGTATAGCCTACATTTTTTGAGATTGTAATACAAAATGTTGTGTTAGATCCCGCCGACATTTGAGGAATGTTGGCTTCAATCACTTTAGCAGATCCTGTCAAAAGATATCCACTGATATCCAAAACCAGTTAACACTGCATTTTGTCTGACATACTAGTTATGAACTGACTTTCCTATTAACCAAGAGGGGAAAGTAATCAGGGGAAGAACAGGAAACAGGAGATGAAATTATGGTAAAAATGATTGTGCATCTTTCTCAGCAGCAAATTCAAAAACTATTACTTTTCCAAAGTAAAAGCAATGGAAAATTACTGCTTCACAACATCGTCCTGTAACATTAAAATCCTTGAAATGGAGACATTCTCTTATCTAAAGCTTACAGTAAGAGTAAATCATATCAAATCTACACATATATATATATATATATATATATATATATATATACTGTATATATATATATATATATGTAGAAATATGAAAAAAGTGTACAATTAAAAATATATATAAAATTAAGTACAAGAAAGACATAAGCCAGCGTTTTCACCCTTTAAGCTGCACACACACACACACACACACACACGCAAATTGCTATGAAGAATCCTCAGATCCTTCAGAACTTGACAAGAACTGAAATTGTCTCAGGTTATGTATGTAACCATGGTTCCCTGAGAATAGGGAATGAGACATTGCATTCCCTATGGGGCACTATGGGGAATGCCTTCAGCATAACCGGTGTCTAAAGCTTGAATGTAAACGACAATGAACTTGACATTGGCAGGTGGCAGCCTATGACATAACTAAAAGAGTGACTGCGGGCATAAAAGGGCAACTGTGGCATATGTCATTCACTTTTTTGTCTGAAGGAGACGCAGGCAGGAATGCCCAAAGCATGGCAAAGGGATGCAGCGTCTCGTTCCCTATTCTCAGGGAACCGTGGTAACATACATAACCTGAGAAAGGGAACGCCACACTGCATCCCTTAGGAAGCGCTATGGGAAACGGAATACCCATGCTAAGGGATGAATGCCCAAATAACTGGCTTCCCTAAGTCA